TTTTCCTAGTGTTTTCCCTCAAGTGAAGGATCAATTTTTTTCCAGATCAACTGACTGTTGATCCATTTACTTGCAACAGAAATTGACCAACCAGCTTGTCATCCAAGGCTGACATCATGGACTGTGAGTGACTGATCCAAAGTCACCTGATTGGATTTCATGGGTAAAGCAGGACTAGAACTCATAGTCATCTGGTTTCTAATCTGGTGCCTTAATCAATAAACCAAACTGGCTCTCTTTTAGTAACAGTCCTTCTCTGATGGGAATAAAATGAAATGTATTGTAAATTTAGTTAAAAGAAAAGGCAAATTTCTTAATTACTCAGATGATTTTAAAATATGTCAACATATTTTAATTATCAGTTATATTTTTGTAATACAATCACATTGACTAGCTTAAAAGTCAATAGCTTAAAATTACCAAGATGGAGTTGCAGCATCCCCCTTCTGGTTGGAAGATCAGTTTTCATCTATCCACATGCTCTTAAAGGAGTCTCAAGAATCAAGTAGTTCTATAATAGTCATAAAATGTAATACTATCTTAGGTCTTTCTGACAGAACTTTCTAACAGAATATACCCCACAACTCTATCTGGGAATATTGGAGTTCATTATTCAGAGTTAGATAAAGTGAATCTTGAGGCCATTATTCTTAGAGATGAATTATCCTGCTGAATTTCACAGTATTAGCAATAGCACTTAGACTTATATACCGCTTTATATCGTTTTACAGCCCTCTCTAAGTAGTTTTACAGAGTCAGCATATTGCCCCCAACAATTTGGGTCCTCATTTTACCCATCTCGGAAGGATGGAAGGCTGAGTCAACCTTGAGCCTGGTGAGACTCGATCTGCCAAATTGCAGGCAGCCAGCAGGCAGGAGAAGTAGCCTGCAGTACTGCACTCTAACCACTGCACCACCGAAGCTCTAGCAAATACAATCCACCTGATGTTCCTTGTTATTAATTTTAACCCCTATAAGGCTAGGAGTAAAACAAAAACAAAAACAGGAAAAGTCAATGACAGACATATAGACTACAAGCAAGTAGCTAACCTTAGGAGCTAAACTGATTAAGCCTCTTTAGTACTTGGATCAAGGAATACCAGGGTTATGGGTAGCCTGAGCCTGAATTGAAAAGAATCCTGAAAGGCTGAAATGAGTTCTTAGCAGTGGTGGGATTCAAATTTTTTTACTACTGGTTCTGTGGGCGTGGCTTGGTGGACATGGTTAGGCCATGTGACTGGATGGACGTGGCTTTTTTTGCTTTTTTTGCAGTTGCCCACCACCGCCACCCATTTTTGGGCCTTCTGGGCCTCAGAAGAGCCCCTGGAGGGACATTTTTGCTCCCAGAAGGCTCCTCTGAGGTTCAGGAAGAGAAAAAACAAGCATGGGAGGGGCATGCAGCACCCCACCACGCTCCATTTTGGGACCTTCCTGGCCTCAGAGGAGCCTCCCACCACAGCCTCTCCCTCCATTTTTTGCCTTCCTGGGCCTCAGCAAGGGGAATCCCACCACAGCTGATCGTATGAACAGCTGATTGTCAGGAAGGAAAAGAAAGAAAGAAATATCTTAAGGGGCCAGCGTCAGGCGGGCAGGCTGAGCGAGCATTGGGAAGGACCAAGTGACCCAGTGACCGGGTCGGGGGTGTGGCCAGCTAGAACTTACTACCAGTTCGGCAACCCACACCAAATCCTTGTGACTGGTTCACCCGATGCGGTGCGAACCGGCTGAATACCACCACTGGTTCTTAGAATAGTCTTGGGAAAGATTTCATGAGCTTTCAAACCATAAATGTTATTCATAGGGAGGGAAGAGGGAAGATAACTGTTAGGGATAACATTGGTTACCTAACTTAGTTTGGGTAAAATAATA